CAGCCTGGGTAACAAGAGCGAAACTCCTTCTCAAAAAAAAAAAAAAGAAAGATTAATAAAAAGTATAAGATAATTATTTTCCCAATTATTCCAGGTCAGGATTACAGGCGGCCAGAGCCTATCCCAGCACCAGGGCACACAGCAGAAACCGGCCCTGGACAGGATGCCATACCCTCACAGCGTACACTCACACACACACCACGCTCACTCAGACTGGGACCATTTAGACATACCAGCTCACCTAACGTGCACATTTTTGGGATGTGGAAGGAAACCAGAGTATCCAGAGAAAACACACGCAGTCATGGGGAGAATGTGCAGACTTCACACAGACAGTGGCCTTTGCCAGGAATCAATTTTTTTCATCAATGTTAAAAAGAAACGTCATTGAACATGACATTATTCAAAGACCTGCCAAACTCCCTCTACTCTACCTACTGCGTATCCTAGAAGTTTGACCTATGTGGGCTCCTTCAGGGCTCCTTTGCCCTCTGGCTTTTTGTTGGGTCCAACACTGGGAAATAGCAGTAGGAGATCAGAGGTCAGGGGAAAAGACAGGTCCAGGAATTTATCCCCCAGCTCCCTGCCTAGTGAATCTCTGTGTGAGGATACTTCTCTCCACCAAAGGTCACTGCTTTTAGCAGGCAGCATCTGCCACACAACTGCCGTCTTTAGATTCTGGTAATCAAATCACTCCCACCCCATCCCTTCAGACCTTCCGGTAGTGATGATTAACTAGCTGTTGCTAGCTAGCACTGAGGAAACTTTGTATCCCTTTTTGGTCTCCCTAAACTCTGCACACATCTTGTAAATGATTCCTTTATTAAGCACTCCTCAAATTATCTAGTTTAAGTGTGCCATCTGTTTCCTGCCAGGACTCTGATACAGAAAGAAATCAGTAACAGTATGGTAACTAGCATTTATTGCCTCCCAGACACTCTTTTAAGCAGTTTATATATTTTTTCATTTAATTCTCATGGCAACCCTAAGAAGTATCCCTTCTTTACAGATGTGGAATCTGAGATGTAGAGATTAAGGAGATTAAGTAATTTTTCCAAAGATGCACAGCTAGTGAGCCAGAATTCAAATCTACAGAGTCTGTTTCCAGAGCCTATGTTCTTAACTACTGTGCTCTTCTGGGAGGTAAGAGTTGATGGTGTAAATTACAGCAATATCAACAGAATGGGGAAAACTGAAGAAATTTAAGAGAGATTATTGCTAATTCCAGGAGGATCAATTGGGATCAAGAAGCAATGAGATGCATTGGTTATGAACACAGATTATTTTTTTTTTTTTTGAGACAGAGTCTCACTCTATTGCCCAGGCTGGAGTGCAATGACACAAACTTGGCTCACTACAACCTCCGCCTCCTTGGTTCAAGTGATTCTGCCGCCTCAGGCTCCTGAGTAGCTGGGATTACAGGTGCCTGCTACCATGCTCAGCTAATTTTCGAATTTTTTCTCTCTTTTTTTTCTTACACATTGCTACACAGACGTGTCCAATTCATATTTTTTAATCTTTATCATATATATATATATATATATATATATTGCATTTTAGGTTTTGGGGTACATGTGAAGAGCATGCAAGATTGTTGCATAGGTACATACATGGCAGTGTGATGTGCTGCCTTCCTCCCCATCACCTATATCTGGCATTTCTCCCCATGCTATCCCTCCCCAACTCCTCACCCCCTGCTGTCCCTCCCCTAGTTTCCTCCCAAAGACCCCAGGGTGTGATGCTCCCCTCCCTGTGTCCCTGTGTTCTCATTGTTCAACACCCACCTATGAGTGGGAACATGCGGTGTTTGATTTTCTGTTCTTGTGTCAGTTTGCTGAGAATGATGGTTTCCAGGTTCATCCATGTCCAGAGGAACCTACAAAGGACACGAACTCCTCATTTTTTATGGCTGCATAGTATTCCATGGTGTATCTGTGCCACATTTTCCCTGTCCAGTCTATCATCGATGGGCATTTGGGTTGGTTCCAAGTCTTTGCTATTGTAAACAGTGCTGCAATGAACATTCGTGTTCATGTGTCCTTATAATAGAAAGATTAATAATCCCTTGGATATATACCCAGTAATGGGATTGCTGGATCAAATGGAATTTCTATTACTAGGTCCTTGAGGAATCACCACACTGTCTTCCACAATGGTTGAACTAACTTACACTCCCCCCTAACAGTGTAAAAGCATTCCTATTTCTCCACATCCTCTCCAGCATCTGTTGTCTCCAGATTTTTTAATGATCGCCATTCTAACTGGCGTGAGATGGTATTTCAATGTAGTTTTGATTTGCATTTCTCTAATGACCAGTGATAATAAGCATTTTTTCATATGTTTGTTGGCCTCATATATGTCTTCTTTTGTAAAGTGTCTGTTCATATCCTTTGCCCATTTTTGAATGGGTTTGTTTTTTTCCTGTAAATCTGTTTTAGTTCTTTGTAGATTCTGGATATTAGCCCTTTGTCAGTTGGGTAGATTGCAAACATTTTTTCCCATTCTGTTGGTTGCCAATTCACTCTAATGACTGTTGCTTTTGCTGTGCAGAAGCTGTGGAGTTTGATTAGGTCCCATTTGTCTATTTTGGCTTTTGTTGCCAGTGCTTTTGGTGTTTTCGTCATGAAGCCCTTGCCTATGCCTATGTCCTGAAAGGTTTTGCGTCGTTTTTTTTTTTTTTAAAGTAGAGACAGGGTTTCACCATGTTGGCCAGGCTGTTCTTGAGCTCCTGATCTCAGGTGATCCACATGCCTCAGCCTCCCAGGTAAAGTGCTGGGATTACAGGCATGAGCTACCACACCTGGCTATTAATAAATCTTTATTCATAAATCTACCCAGAGAAACAGAGGGGCACCTATTGGAATTTAGAAATGTTAGCTCTAAAGTGCCATCCTCTGTGGCTGAAGACCCCCCTGAGATCAAACCAGCCCTTCCTTTCCTTTGGATGCCCACTGTACTTTTGTTGTTTTTATGGCTGTCTTTAACTCTGATATCACATTTATTGGTTTATATGTCTCTCTCCCTGCTGAGATCCACTAGTCCTAATTCATACCCTTATCCTTATTTACTCTCATCATATGAAGCACATACTAAGTGCTCAATAATATTTGTTGAATGAATGAATGACTCAGTGCTCCTAGAAAATTATTCCCTGAGCTTCATTCCAATTCTCCGTCCTTGCTATCATGTAGATGAGAAAATTACTCTGCTGCTTTATTGCTTAGTCTTCTTATTTATTCACAAAGTCTGGTGCACACTAGGTGCTTAGTAAATATTTGTTAAATTAATGAACTAACATCAAGAAATTACAGTAAATTGGCAGCCTAGAACAGTGGAGGATGTGGAGTCAGATTAGCTGGATTCACATCCTGGTTCTAATGCTGTGAGACACTGGACAAGTTACATCTTCTCAATGTGCCCCAATTTCCTCCTGTGTGAAATTAGGATAATAGAATCTCTCATAGACACAAACGTAGTGTGAGAACCAAGTGAGATAATACTGGCTGGCTCATAGTGAGGGTCTAACAAATGTTATCTACATGATGCTGAGAATCAGGGAGTGGCTCTGGGGCTACTACCCATTCTTTCCTTTTTTCAGGTCAGTGCATAAAGTCTAGTGCTCAGGGCATTACACTGAATCTGGGCCCCCTAACAACAGGTTGCAATTTGCTGAGATCGCACCACTGCACTCCAGCCTGGGTGACAGAGCAAGACTTCATCTCAAAAAAATAAAATAGAAAGGAAAGTATGGTGGTAAACAAAACAATCCATTTTAGGAGTAGTCTTGGTTAAAGTCCTAGTCCCTTGATAGCCAGACCTAGCCTTTGTGACCACATTTCTGTATACTTGAAATACCAAGCAACATGCTTTGCACTAGGCAGATACTCATTACATGTATAATTGAAGCATGGCTTGCTGATCCATGTTCTTGATTTTCTTGCTGCCCTGAATGAACACTAAGGCCTGGGGAGTATGGTTTGCCTATTGTGATGAACTGTGTAAGTAAGAATCAAAAGGAAAGGGATGAAAGTGTGTGATCCTGTTATGGGCTGAACTGTGTTACCCCCAAAATGCATATATTGAAGCCCTAATCTTCAGTGTACTATTTGGAGATAGGACCTTTAAGGAGGTAATTAAGACAAATGAGGTCACAAGGGTGGGGCCCTAATCCAATATAACTAGAGTAAGAGGAGAAACACCAAGGCTGCATATGAGGACATAGCAAGAAGGTGACCACAGAGAGAGGCCTCAGAGAAAACCAAACCTTCTGACACCTTGATCTTGGACTTCCAGCCTCCAGAACTGTGAGAAAATAAATTTCTGTTACTTACGACACAAATTCTATGGTATTTTATTATGGCAGTCCAAGCAGACAAATACAGACTCTATTCCATTTGCTTATGAGAGTAGTTGGTGGTACACGCCTGTAATACCAGCACTTTGGGAGGCCAAGGTGAAGGGATTGCCTGAATCCAGGAATTCAAGACCAGCCTGGGCAACATGATGAAACTCTATACAAAAATTAGCTGGGCATGGTGGCACACACCTGTAGTACCAGCTACTTGGGAGGCTGAGATGGGCAGATCACCTGGACCTGGGGAGGTAGAGGCAACAGTAAGCCGTGATTGTGCCACTGCCCTCCAGCCTAGGAGACAGAGTGAGACTCTGTCTCAAATAAATATACAAATAAATAAATATGGGCCAGACATGGTGACTCATGCCTATAACCCCAGCACTTTGGGAAGCCAAGGTGGGAGGATAACTTGAGGCCAGAAGTTCAAAACCAGTCTGGCCAACATGCTGAAAACCCAACTCTACAAAAAATTTTTAAAAATTAGCCTGGTGTGGTGGGCTATGCCTGTAATCCCAGCTACTCTGGAGGCTGAGGCATGAGAATCATTTGAACATGGGAGGTAGAGGTTGAAGTGAGCACTACTGCACTCTAGCCTGGGCAACAGAGTGAGACTCTGTCTCAGAATAAATAAATAAAACAAAAAGTCAACTTTGCACAGTGGCAGTATCATAACCAATGAGATTTATCTGAGGCACACTTATTGCTGATTGAAAATTTTCCCAATACCCTGCTGTGATGACTTGCAATATAGTCAGCATTGGCAATTTTTGACAGTCTCTGCAGAGACTGAAAACAACAAGAGCAATAAGAAAAAGGCTGACAATTCCTTGACTCTCTAATGGATTGGGGAGGTCCAGGGCCAATGTTATATATCCTTTCAGTCAATGTCCAACACATACCTGTTGAGCACTGACTATGTGTCAGCACCATTCCAGCAAAGAAAGAAGAGGAAACTCTCTGCCCTCACATTACTTTCTAGTGGTGTTTATTATATTTTATTTGTATCTTTTACTATGAAATATATCATATGTACAAAAGATTACCTACAATGTATGGGACCATGTTAAAGAATAAATACATACTTACAAGCAACCTAGTTTAAGAAATAGAATATTACCAATACGTAATGAGTCCACACGTGGCTTTTTTAATATCATCTTTCGCTCCCCCACAGAGGTAATGCCCCTCCTAAATTTTGTGTTAGTAATTCCCTCACTTTCCTTATAAGTCTTAGCACAGTGTCTGTGTATACCTAAACAATCTTCTATCAGTCAGGGTCCTCCCAGGAAATAAATGGCACACTCTAATTAAGATAATCTGAGGAAAGTTTACTAAAGGAACTATTTACAAATGTGCAAGCAGGATATACAGTGTGATAAGAACACAAGAATAGGACATTATCCTGAGGCTGGAAACAGGGCTCTTACCATCCTAGGCCTGAAGAGGAGAGGAGGAGTTGGTTATGGGAAGTCAGAGACAGAGCGGGCTGTGGAAGGGGCCATCTGATAGAAGCCCAGATCTACAGTGGAGGGAATCCAGCCAACCCACAGCAACCCCCAGTGAGATCAACAGAGAAGAAATCCCTGACCCATCTCTCCTTTAGTTCTCCAGTCATCCCTGGCTCGTCCTATCAGCCAAACCTAACCAGAGGCCAGAAATCAGAAGAGTTCACCGATGCACTCCACGTAGCTCAGCCTACTGGAAATCAGTTAAGTGAAGAAAGTGAATCTGCAGGGGCAAACGGAAGATTTCTAGCTTAAATAGATTGCTTAATGTTGCCTGTTTAAGATTACATAAATAGAACCATACAGTATTATTCTTCTATGACTTGCTTTTTTTGCTCCTTCATTAGAGTAATTTGTGTATACCTATAGTTCATTAATATTTAGTTCTGTATAATATTCCCTTATATGAATTTAACACAATGTATTTATCCATTCTATGGTTGATAAACATTTAGCCTGTTTCCAGCTTTTTGGGTTTTTTTTTGTTGTTGTTGTTTTTTGTTTTGTTTTGATTTACAAAAAATTCTGCTATGGACATTCTTATGTATATCTCTTTGTGCAAGAAGGCATATATTGTACAGGTATATGCAATTGCTGGGCTGTAGGATGTAGACAAGTTAAACTTTAATAATGCAAAATATTTTCCAAAGTCATACTAGTTTGCATTCCAACTAGCATTAAATGAGGTTCTGTTATTCCACAATCTAACATTTGGTATTGTCAGACTTGCTAATTTTTGTCAATCTGTTGCATGAGAAATAGTGTCTTGTTGTGGTTTTGAGTTTCCTTGTTGCTAGCATGGTTAGATATTTTTTTACATACTTATTGGTCATTTATGTTACGTCTTCTGAGAAATGATTTGTTTTCTTTTACTAATTTTTCTATTGACTTTTCTTTCTTTTGTCAGCTAAATGTATTATAAATGTCTTCTCCCCCCTTAGTATCTTGCTTCTTCACTCGTGGTATCTTTGGGTGCATGCAAGTTAATTTAACATAATTGAGTTCATACTTTTTTTTTTTTTTTGAGATGGAGTCTCACACTGTCACCCAGGCTGTAGTGCAGTGGCACAATCTTGGCTCACTGCAATCTCCGCCTCCTGGGTTCAAGCAATTCTCCTGCCTCAGCCTCCTGAGTAGCCGGGACTATAGGCATGTGCCACTACGCCCAGCTAATTTTTTTTTTTTTGTATTTTTAGTAGAGATGGGATTTCACCATGTTGGCCAGGATGGTCTCGATCTCCTGACCTCGTGATCCACCTGCCTCGCCTCCCAAAGTGCTGGGATTACAGGCATGAGCCACTGTGCCTGGCTATACTTTTTTTCTTTATGGTTTGCACTTTTGGTTCATGTTAAAGAAATCTTTCTCTACCCTGAAGTCGTAAAGATATTTCCTATTTTGTCTTCTAAAAGTTTGTCTTACATTATGCTGTAAACTTTAAGACATGGGGCCTGTTGGGAATTAGGGAATTCCCTAATTGATTCCTTAATTGATTAATGGGATTATTGCCCTTATAAAAGATGGCAAAGAAAACACACTGTCTTTTTTCCTCTTCTACCATGTAAGGAAGCAGCAACAGGCATCATCTTTGAAACAGAAAGAACCAGCCCTCACCAGACACTGAATGTGCTGGCACTGTGATCTTGGACTTCCCAGCCTCCAAAACTGTGAGAAATAAATTTCCATTATTTATAAATTACTCAGTCTGAGATATTTTCTAATAGCAGCACAAATGAACTGAGACATGTTTTATATCTACCTGGAATTGATGTTTGTGTATGATGTAATGTAGAAATCAAATTTATTTTTTTTCAAATAGATAACCAATTACTGAATATAGCAGTTCCCCCCTTATCCTTGGGGATACGTTCCAAGCCTCCAGTGGATGCCTAAAACCATGTAGTAGTACTAAACCATATATATATATATATATATATATATATATATGTATATATACATATATATGCATAGATGATATAGATATATGGGGCTATAGATATATGTTTTTTCTATCTCATAACTGAGAAGTCTACAAGTAACTAATGGGTGGATAGTGTATACAGCATGAATCTGCTGGACAAGGGAATGATTCATGTCCTGAGTAGGATGGAACAGAGATTTCATCATGCTACTCAGAATGGCACACTATTTAAAATTTTTAAATTATTTCTGGAATTTCTCCATTTAATATTTTTGAGTTGCAGTTAACCACAGGTCACTGAAACCTTGGAAAGTGAAACCATGAATTAAGGGGAACTACTCTAGTCCATCTGTTTCCGACTGATCTGTAAATACTTTTTGTGACATAACTTTTGTTTTTATTTATTAGTCTTTTCCTATATTCTCTGTATTTTTCTACATTTTTATTTTATTTTACATTTTTATTAAAACAGAGATGGGGTCTCACTATGTTACCTGACCTCCTGTCCTCAAGCGATCCTCCTGTCTCAGCCTCCCAAAGTGTTGGGGAAACAGGCATGAGCCACTGTGCCAGCCTATTTTTCTCTATCTTTGCCAACAATACAGTATCTTAAGTATTTTAGTTTTATAACAAGCTTTAATATCTGGTAGGGCAAATCTCTGCCTAGTTCTTCTTTAGGAGTGACTTGGGTCTATGCATAATTTTGAAGGTAATTAATATCTTTTCATGTTTGTTATTATAAAAGTAAAAATATGCATTGTAAAAAGAAAATATAGATGAGCAAAAACAAGAATGTATAGAAATATTCCTACAACCCTGAGATTATTACTGTTAACATCACAGGATAATACATCCTTCTAGATCTTTTGTTTTATCATATAATAATTGACAATATATAACATTGAATCTGTATTCTGAAAATGGTATTTCTCTCCATTTATTTAGATCTTTAATGTCTTTCAATAAGGCCAGCTACTGTAACCTCCACCTCCCAAGCTCAAGTGATCCTCTCACGTCAGCCTCCTGAGTAGCTGGGACCACAGGCGTACCACCATGCCCGGCTAACTTTTTGTATTTCTTGTAGAGACCGTGGTCTCACCATGTTGCCCAGGCTGGTCTTGAACTCCAGAGCTCAAGCAATCCACCTGCCTCGGCCTCCCAGAGTGCTGGGATTACAGGTGTGAGCCACTGCACCCAGCCTTAAATGTTATCTTTTAAAAAATTACTAAGAAAAAAGGACCATCTCTGTTTTGTCAATTATTATATCCCCAGCATCTAGTCGAGTGCCTAGCAGGTAGTATGTGCTCAGGAAGTATTTCTCAAATGAATGGATAAAAATACCTAGTACTCTGTTGAGTGAATTAATGAAGTATTGATAGGGGATTTTCTTGTTATTTTCTGCTGGCCTGCCATAGTGCCCAATAGTCTACCATAAAGTACTTGGTGGAATGACATATTAAGCTATTATCTTTCAGATTCTTATTTCAATAGAATAGTTTATTAGCATCTATCACCCAGCAGGATCTGATATGGTAATTTATGGTAATTTTAATGCTGGGAGAAGAAAGAACAGGCTCTAAGGCAACGTGAAGACACTGGTTACCTAAAAGGTCGTGCTATGGTTTGAATGATGATGCCCCCTCCAAAATTCATGTTGAAATTTAATCCCCATTATTAAGAATTAAGAGGTGGAGCCTTAAAGATGTGATTGAGTCATGACAGCAGGGCCCTCATGAATGGGGTTGGGTGCCCTTATAAAAGGGCTTGCTGGGGCAGGGCGCGGTGGCTCATGCCTGTAATCCCAGCACTTTGGGAGGCAGAGATGGACAGATCACCTGAGGTCAGTAGTTCGAGACAAGCCTGGCCAACATGATGAAACCCCGTCTCTACTAAAAACACAAAAATTAGCCAGGCGAGGTGGCGGGCACCTGTAATCCCAGCTACTCGGGAGGCTGAGCCACGACAATCGCTTGATCCTGGGAGGCAGAGGTTGCAGTGAACTGAGATTGTGCCATTGCACTCCAGCCTGGGCAATAAAGAAAGACTCCATCTCAAAAAAAAAAAAGGAGGGGGTGCTTTCTGGAGGGGGTTTGCCCTTTTTGCCCCTTCTGTTTTTTCTACCATGTGGGGATGCAGCATTCCTCCTCTATGGAGAATGCAGCAACAAGGTGTTGTCTTGGAAGCAGAGAATAGCCCTCACCATTCACCAATCCTGCTGGAACTTTTATCTTGAGCTTTCCATCCTCCAGAACAGTAAGGAAATAAATTTGTGTCCTTTATAAATTTCCTTGTCTTGGGTATTTTGTTATAGCAGCGCAAAGATGAGTGGTGTTCTTTGGAAAAGGGAACAAATGAAGGAAGG